ACATAAAAGTGGCCATCTAGGAGGAATGGAACCTCACCAGACATCAAATCCGCTAATATCTCTGATCTTGGACTTCCCAGCCTCAAGAGCTATGAGCAGTAAATTTTAGTTATTTATAAATGACCCCATTGAAGGCACTTTGTGGTAGCAGCCCTAATGGATTAAGACACTATTCTCCCTGCTTCCACCCTGACCCCTCAAATCCATCCTTCACCCAGCAGTCAGAATGATCCTTTTGCATCTCCTATCCTGTCATTCCTCTGCACAAAGTCCTCTCATGGATCCCATTTCACTCAGAACAAAGCCACAGCCTTAGAATGGGTTTAAGACCCTCACGAGGCCGTCCCAGGTAGCCACGGTTCCCCTCCCCCTTTTGTTTTAGTCTTTGCCCAAATATTGCTTTTCCAGGTGAAGCTGCCTGCTCACCATATTTTAAATCAAAACTGCCACCCTCAAATTCTTCATCCCTTATTAGCTTATTTTTCCATGGGATCTCCAGTTCACCCTCAAACATTCTATATACAGTTTACCTCTTCACCTATTGCACCCACCTCTGCTAGAAGTAAGCTTCCTTGTTCACTGTGACCTCCCTAGCACACAGAACAGCGTCCCGCATGAAGTGGGTACTCAGAATTTCTTCAGTGAATTGTGAATTAATGGACTCATACTTTTTTAATATGTTAGTGGTTTATCTGTTTTCAAAATTATAAGATAAAAAGAAACAAGATTTTTATGAGGAAACAAAAATTAGCTTAGCTAAATTAATAGACAGGTTAAAAAAAAAAGGGAGAAAAATCTGATAGCTGTATAAATAATCCCCAACCAAACCATTAAGTGATAAAACAAGGTACATGAAAGAGTATATTATCTTTTCAAAAATTATGTTTCTGGAGTTTTACCGGGGAAAATGGTAAGAATGGCTGCCCCTAAGTAAGGAGGCTGGACGGCTCAGGGACAGGGGTGGTAGGACCTGATTTCCAGTGTGCAACCCTTTGCACTCTTGAACTTTGTATCATGTGCAAACAGTGTCTGTTCAAAAATGAAAATAAAATCATAATAAAAGATTAGAATAATAAAAGACTAACATTCGAGTTACACTCCAAAGCTTAACGTTCAATTGATTAAAAGTGAGATGTACAATTCTTTTTGGACAGGAAAAACACATCCCAAGAATTGAGTGAAAGACCTATCTACATGTTCAGGAAAGACTGTTTTGGGGGAAGGGCAGTCAGCCACGGCAGCTTTCCTCATCACACAGCATCTGCCAGAGAAGATATCTTGGCTACCCAACAAGCACTGAGTGTCTGATCTAGTTGAGGGTCACACTCAGTCCATCCAAGGGGACATGAGTAAAGCATGAAGACCCAAGTGCCCATCATCCCACCAACATGGCCCTGGTGGGGAAGCATTTCCCCAGTGAGCAAGGCTGCTTTGGGGCCAAGAAGGGCCCTCTCTCACAACCCCATCTGAATAGTTCAGACACAGCTGCCTGCAGGCAGGAGCTGTTACAGCTCCCATTTCCACTGGTGAAGCGGACACTATTGTCTCTTCATTCAACTCCAGAGTGTCCAATAAATTCACTGCCTGTCTGGATCAAGATTGCATTTGCCCACAGAAAAATGAGAAACACACAGTGTATGTAATCACTTTTTATATTGCTAGTTTATTAAGTTGGGGTGTGTGGAAATATCTTCCTTGAAACCTCCAAAGGCTCAGTACCAGTGATGTACCAAGGCTATTAATCTAATTAATTCCCTCTATTCCAACTTCTACACTAACAGAGGCAGCTTCAGGTCATTATTGAACTTTTCCTAATTGCAGGGAAGGTGAAGGTACTGGTCAGCCGTGATTTCTAAGTATTCTGGCTTCTGAGTCAGTTGTTTCTATTATAAAAAAGCAATGGGCGGCCATTGTGGGACTTGGACATCTTCCTCAAGATTGCCTGATGTAAGTACGTCCACGGCCCTGCGCCCAAACTCACCATCTCTAAGACCAAGAATAAGACCAGACTGCAGCAGACTCACCATGCTCTGCTACCTCCCACTGCCATCCTCACTCCAACCCCAAACAGGAACAAATAACAGAAAGTCTGGCTTCACCTGGAAATCCAGTAAAATGAAGCATTTCTAAAACATGATGTGCAACGCATCAGCCAAGCCCTTAAACCTTTCATACCTTTTGCTTGGAAATAAAGTATCAAATTTGAGCAATGATCTATTTAGGAAATGCATGCACAAGGAGAGAAAGAATAGAGATGAGAGAGATAGATAGAGACAGAGATAGAGCTAGAGATGACAGAGATAGAGACTGATATAGATATATTTGATTGATGACTATAATTAGAACTTAGTCAGTGTTGGTGTGTCGTAGGTAAGGGACAGAAATGGAGAGATACTTCCTGCTGAAACCTTTGAAATCATTCTGATTTTTACTATGAGAAAGTATCACCCATCCACATAAGAAAAAGCAATGTTTATACCTCTTTGGAGCCTTGTTTCTGATGGAAGATTTTCTTGCATGAAGTTTTCTCTGTCTCCAGCAAGGAATAAACACAGGCCCCTCCACAGAGCAGGAGTTCCTAGGGATAAGAATGTGTAATAACCCTGCATTCTTGTTTTTGTATTTGATGTTTTAAAATCCTGGAGCCACTCGGAGGCTGGACTGCCCCTCCCGGACTTAGCCAGTTCCTAGAGATAACAAAGAACTCAGATACTAGCTCTCCTTTCCCATGCATACCAACAAGCTGGAGTCCACACTCCAAGACCGCCTTCCCTCGCCTCTCACACTCTGGGTCACTGTCCACTTCTGCTAACCAGGGCAGCGCAGGGTCAGGTACCAGACAACGAGGGGCAGGGACAGCTCCACGTTTCAAGGCCCACTGAACCTGTCCAAATTGGCTTTCTTTAAGCCTGTTCACCCTCCTGGCCTGTTACTTCCTAAGCAACTGCAGTGAGGACTCTTGTTACATTTTCCTTCCTCTCAGTCCTCAGACCCGCCCTGGTGCTTTGGGCACAGCTCCCCATGGCTTGGCAACACTCCCTTTCCAATGCCAGACACCTCCTGATCTGTAGACCTGGATGTGTCCCCAAAATAATAAAATCAACATTTTAAAACAGATGAGCCTAGGCTGGAATCCTCGTCTGCAGGAGGTACAGTAACATCATGGACGTGGGACAGAGATTTCAGCTGCAATTAAACAAGAAAAGAAGTGCTGTGATTTAACAGAATGCCCTCTTACATGAAGCCAAGAATGTGCTCTAGCCCCGGGAGAAGCGGTGAAGGTTAGGACACGTTGCTCAGGGCAATTTGGCAGCCACCACCCCTGCATATATTTCTATTAATAAGTGTTCTACCCATGAGAACCACATGTTTATTAATGAGCCCACAGTCAGCTCAATTACCAGGTGACTGGTGCTTGTGTGCTACCCCATGACAAGGGCACCTGCCAGAGAGTGTGTCAGTTCTGCACCGATCATCAGAGGCTGGGCCGAGTTCACGTTCACAGTGTGCATTTTTCACTTTAAGCATACTTCATGTGTGAAGGCCAGCATTTATTTGCAAAACAGACCAAGACAGGATGATTCGTCAGCCTATAAATAGCATCTGCTGAAGGTTCTTGTCAAACAGGAAACTTGGGTGACTTGGGTGATTTGATTCACCAAAAAGAATGTATTTTAATCGCACACTAGGCGGGAGCTCAGGACCCTCACACATGTGTCGTAGCAAATGGGGTGTCTTGGCTACTACTGCCAAGGGCCCCTTGGTTGCTATAGTAACAGAGGTAATGTGGTCATGGAGCGCAGGAGAGGAGCAGGTCCTGGATGAGGGGTGGGCAAGAGTGCAAATTCACACTCGACTCCAAACGCCTCAGATGCTGCTTCCCACAACTGGTGGTTTAGAAGCTGCAGACTTCACTTGGCCAAGTTTATTGTAACTGTTTTTCTGTGCCTTGCAAACGCTTTAAAACTGGGAGGTTTTGCACAAGAAGTCAGACTTCTAGCCTCTACTGAAAAGCTAGGGCATCCAACCACACATACCCGACTCTTCTAGGCGATACTGTCAGTGAAACTGGGTGGCAGGAGCTACCGCTCCCTTGTGCAGTGCATGAGCTCACCGCTCGCTGCAGTCCTTGCCACCTCCTGGCTGTCCTCCTATGGTGACTGAGTCCTGGTAACCACAGCTCACTGTGCTTAAAGAAATCTTCATGGGAACTTACAGCGCTCACAAGTGTGGGGACATAAAGAGTGGGCTTAGAAGACCAAGGTTTCCGGGGGGAAAAAAGGAAGTCAAAGAATACTCTGATGTTGTGACAGGACAACAAAACCACTTCAGAGGCCCCATTGTGTAGAAGTGGCAACAGTGAAGCGTCTTCAGGAAGGCGCAGAGGAGGGTCAGGGAGGCAAACTTGGGTCCTGAAAGGGAATGAGCCGAGGAGGCTGCAGTCACGGTGCCAAGTGGCTGCAGAAAAGCAGCTCTGTGAGACACAGAGGATGAGGTAATCCAGGCACTAACCACTGAAGCTCAGGCTGGAGTGAACAGCACAGTGACTGATTCTATTGTTAATTGGGTCAAAGGCTCTATCTTTATATGGAGCCCAATTTGGTTGTTAGAAAAACGAGGCAACTGGTCAACCCCAGTCAGCTACTTAGAGTATATTTAAAAATCAGGATACATGAAGATGAACTCAACGGGGAGGCAGAAGAAATGGAAAGTCCACAGAAACAGAATATATACTGCAGCTGGGTTACCCAACAGGTCTCCCATGCCTGCCAAAGAGGAAAACCCCAAGTCAAAAATAAAATGAAATAAAATAAAAACCCCAAGCTGTTTGTTCATTTTTCATCTTGGCCAGATCACTCCCCAGTGGGAGAGCAGAACACATTTCCCAGCCAACAATGTGAGCAGCACAGCACTGGGCCCAGGGCTGATGGAGTCAATGTTTAGTTCTCATCTCACCCCTTGGCAGGGGACGAAATAAACCACACTTTTCCACACAAACATCTTAAATAGATCAGAGTAATAGATTTTATTTAATTAAAATAGATTAAAAACAGACTGTGTAAAAGAATTAGAATTCTCAATAATTTACTATTATTTACATTAGCAAATGCTGGTCATTAGTAGACACTGTGTGGGGGCCTAGACCCTGCATCTGAGGTGGGTTCGGAGCCTCGAGGTTCCTCCAGTCCCCAGCCCTTCAGGTCGCTATAGCCAGGATGTCACTGGGTGCACGAGATGGGCATTTCAGATGCCCTCGGTTACAGCACCAGGCCCCGCACTGCAGGGCTGTGAAGCTCCTGGCTGGGAAGGGATTTCTTCCTCATGGGGAGCATTGCTTACTCTCAGGCCACGTTCACAGATGCACCCAATCCTCAGTGATTTCTCCTTTCTGTCCAGTTCCCTCCATGTGCATGTGACCTCTGGGAAAAGCTCCTCTGGGGTGACTCAAACCTGCTTTCCAGAGAGACCATGTAAAGCCAGAATGAAAGCCACACACCCTGGGAAATCCTGGATTCCCAAACATCACCTATGCTGTCCACAACTTGGCAACTTGTGCCTCTAATGTGTGAGGGGGTGGTGGGGAATCAGAGCAGGTGGGTGGCGCGGGGACACTTGTCCATGAGGGGCGCTCCTTTGAAGGAGCAGTAACAGCAGCAGGGGGCCCAGCGGAGCACGTGCCCTGCAGGCTCTGAGCATGGGCATTGAGCGAGTCCTAGGAGCAGAGAGGCAGGCTGTGGTGTCCCGCGGACAGAGAAAAGCCCTCAGGAGAGCAGGCCGAGTGGCCTCCCGCGTCACAGTCTCTGGTGGCGAGAAGTGCCAAGGTTGCTGATCCCCGTGCCTGGCCTGTGGCCAGTGGGAGCCCTGTGGCTCCACCTGTAAGACGCCCAGGCTTCCAGGCGATGGGGCCTGGGACCCCCAGGAGGTGGAGGGCTGAGCAGCAGCTGTGATCACCGAGGCCACACCGTGGACACTACTGCAATGTGCAGTCAAGGGCAGAGGTGGGGGACGTCCGACAGAAAGCTTCAGTCCAAAATGTCTGTCTCGAAGGGGACCAGGTGGTAATAGGACAGGTTGGTGACATAAGCCGCGGGGTCATCGCCATCCTCCAGCTCTGGCGTGAACTCACTGCCATTCTCAAACCTGAAACAGTGAAGACGCTAGTGAGGCAGGCCAGCAGCAACCCCTCCTGGGCTGGGGCCTCTCCGGAGCATGCAGTGTCACCTGACAGTGTCTGACCGTCCAAACTGACGGCTCCTGAGGGATAGCTACCGCCTGGAGAGCAGCCCCGGACCAGCGAAGGGGGAGACCAGTGCGCTGAGCCAGGAACTCCCCAGAAATGCTCCTCAGCCGCTCCGGGGTGGTACCCGAGCTAACCACACAGCCTTGCCCTTGCCCTCTCCCCAGGGAAAAATGTGTGGCAAGGAAAGGGCTCCCGGTCTTCTCCACGCGGTGGTCCCTGGCCAGTGACTCCTCCCAGGAAGCTAAGGACCTTCCTCCCTCCTCCCTCCTCCACGAATCTGCGTCTGCCACGAACCCTCAGGGCCAGCCCTGTCTGCACAGAGGCCCCAGGCAAGGAACTGCTGAGCTGCACCACAGGCTCTGCCGAGAGCCCCTGAGGCAAGGCCAATGTTGGTGTCTCCTTCCCTGTCCCGAGACAGCCCCTCTGAGCATGGAGGTGTTCGGCCCTCCCACCCCGAGGGTGGTGAACCTGGGCTTGGTGATTCCTCCCAAAGCTCCTTCAATATCAGTGACTCAGTCTCCCCAAAAGTCAGTGAATCAACTTCTCACCAGACTCCAAGGAAGGCAAACTTTTAAAGTAAGTACTCAGATATGAGCAGAGTCCACGGTTGGGGCCTTTGGTCACATCCATTCCTTTCTGTGGAGCCCAGGCTCCTGCACGGGTGACAGCAAGGGGACCCTTTTATAAAGCCCTACTCACAAGTGCTCCGTGGGGTCCACGTCCTGGGGCTGGTCTTTCCCATTTGGTATACTGTGGTCGATGACTATTGTTTCTGTGTTTGCCAAGCAAAATCCATTGGACCTCATGATTTCTGAAAAGCAAAGCAGCAGGTGAGTAGGCAGCAGGGGTCTGAGTCGAGGTTTTCAAGTTCTTTACATCCCCCTCCACCCACTGTACACTTCCTCCCTGACACTGTACCCCAGGCCCTTTCCAGATGCTGCAGGCAGGCTGAAGAGGCACTGAGCCACAGGAGCCAGGCCCACTGGCCCTGTCTCTCCCTGACACACTGGCTGTCTGCACCCTGCACACACGCCCTTCCCCAGGGGATTAAACCTGGGGTAGACAGGAGGAGGACTAACCCCGTCTGTGAACGGGGTTTGAGACCAGCTCTACCGTGCGCTGGTGTGCGACCTCTCACAGGTCACCCAACCTTTCACAGCTCTTGTCACACTAAGACAGGGCCAGCAACATCTCCCAGCCGGGTTGCTGTGAGGATCTAAAGAGACCGGTGTGCATTTTAACCCCGAGGTGACTCGCGTGTTTTGGTTTCATATGATTCTAGACAGGCACTGATGTTTTCTTCCCCCAGAAAACACTGTTTTTGGTAATTAAAAAAAGCCACCAAAGAAAAAAATGACATCCTGGGTCTATGACGGCCATATGGCATTAGCTGGTCAGGACAGAAGTCTGGGGCTTGTCTGGGGCTAGAAAAGCTGAGATGGAGAATATATGACAGTGGGTTCCATGGCCCCAGGACTCATTTATCCACTGGAGTTTCAAGAGGGTTGTCATGATTTGGGGGATATTTTTGCAAGGAAGAACAATATAATACAGGACACACATTTTCTATGATTATTTATAACAGTCACCCAAAGAATGCTATACAAAAGCGTGCAGGAAATCTGTCTACACACCAAGACCAAGGAAACTAGCCGAGGGCCTGGATCCCACGATAATGTCCAGCATGAGTCCAGCTGAAGACCTAGACTTCCTAACAATGCCTTCTACAAGTCCAACTGGAGTCCCAGAGCCCATAACAACGTCTCATGCAGGCCTGTTTCATGGATCTGCTCTGTGAAGGCCCAAAGGTCAGTGGTGGAATCCAGGAAGTCTGTGCCAGCGGGATGAAGGATCTGTGCTGGCTGGCTGAGGGATCTGCACTGGAGCCAGGAAGCAATGTACAAAGTAAGAACCAGAGCTCCCCTGAAAGGTACCACAGCCATCCTCAGCAACAGTGAGGTCCTGAGCTCCTCCGATGGCGAAGACAGCTGAGTTCCCATCAGGAAAGCCAGTGCAGCAAGCTTCTTCCGGAGACTGAGCTGTGCACCTTCTTCCCCTTCAGAGCCAGGAAGCAATGCTCAGAGTGAGGACCAGAGCTCCCCCAAAGTGAACTGAAGCTATTCTCAGTGCCAACAAGGTCCCGAGCTCCTCGGAGGATGAAAACAGCCAAGTTCATTATGAAAGCCAGCACAATGAACTCCTCTGAAACAACCAACAGCTCGTTACAGCTTCTATCAGCTCCTAACAGACTCTCTCCGCTTCCAACAGCCTCCTCCTCCTTCTCCACTTCTGCCTCTTATGCTGCTGGCAACAGTCCTCAGGTGGGCCTCCCACACCCAGCACTATGCTTAACTCAGTTCAGCTAGGGATTATAAAGTGACCACCAGTTGTCAATTCACTACAATGGTACTAACTTATCATTAGGATCCTGCAGGCTCTGAAACCTCACAAACTCCTGGATCCCAGCTTGCCACCAGGTCCATTTAAGTACCATGGTCCTTGCGGGTCCACAGGGCAATGTTCCAGGACAACCAGGACACCCAATCTGCAGATGCCCAAGTTGCTTTTGTACAATGGCAGGGTATCTGCACAGAACCTCCTGTATGCATTAAATCTCCTCTAGGTGGCTTCTAATATCCTGTAAGCACTATGTAATAAGCACTATGTCCATAGTTATTATACGACATTGTATGGGGAACGGTGTTCAGGAGAGCCTGTACATGTTCAGTATAGAAGCAATTTTTCCCAACATTTTTGACCTGTAGTTGGTTGAATTCAATAGCTTGAGAATCCCCTGTATGGAAAGTGTGACCAGGTGTGGCATTGTGCACCTGTCATCCCAGTTACTCGTCAAACTGGGGCAGGAGGATTGCTTGAGCTCCAGAATTCCAGGACAGAATGGGCAACACAGCAAGTCACCCCCCAGCCCTAAAAAGTAAATGTAGCTTGACTCCCTTTTTTTTCCAGCTGGTGTAGCTTTCTTTGCATTTCCCATGGGACATGTTTCCATCCCTTCCCTCAGTAGATGAACACAGCTGGTGGCCACTGCCAGTTCTCCTTGGCCTTGAAGTCCTCCTCGCCCTCATCCTTAAATATGCTCCACGATCCTGGTGCGATCTCAGGCCCAGGAGGAGCCAGATGCCGGGAGGGGATGAACAGCTCCACCACCCTCCTCCTGCTGCAGCCCAGCGCACCCTTAAGAGCATCATTTTCCGCCCACCGTGTGTGTTAGTGTTTGTAGCCTCTGATGTTTTGTTGTTTGCGGCAGATTTCATTCACTTCTTTCCCCTTCTGTACCACCACTGCAATCTAAATTAATTTATTCTTGAGAATAGATTTGCTATGTTATTACTGAAAGTATTACAGTCTTTCTAGGTGTCTGGGTTTTCTTTTTTGTGGCACTAGGGATTGAACCCAGGGCCGTCACACTGAGCCATATCCCCAGCCCTTTCATAGTTTTTATTCTGAGCCAGGGTCTTTCTAAATCACTGTTGCCCAGTAGGAGCTTAGACTCACCAGTCCCCCTTTCTCAGCTTCCCAGCGGGCTGGATTACAAGCATGCACCACCCTGCCTGGCATATTTGGTTTATTTTTTGATCTTTCTAGGTTTGTGAGTCTCAGTTCTTTGAAATTCTCTCCATATGCACAGAATTAGAGACTACAGAAAAGCAGAAAAAGAAAAGTAGAAAATTTTCCCTCTCCACAACAAGGTCCAAAGGCAGGTGCGCCTGTCAGATTTGTAACTGCTGGCTTTGAGCCTGGCTTTCTGGAAAGCAGTCACTCACGTCTCGGTGGTCTCCTGCATCCCAGGCAGTCATGCTCTGCGGGACCTCGCTTCACCCCATCCCTGCCTTCCTTCAGGCTCCACCCTCACTGGAGCTGGAGCTCAGGGAGCTCTGTGAGCCAGGGAGGGGGAGTCAGGCTGGGACGGGGTCAAGGACGCCTCAGGGTGAAGTCTGGCTGAGCCACAGATCTCAAAGTTAGTCTCAGCAAGACAGGTTCACGTCCTCCCAGTTCTCAATTTAAAAGGCGTGGCAACACAGAACCACTTTCTTTATTATTTTTATTAACTTTGACCCAAATCTGTCTGAGGAAGCGCTTCAAACCTCAAAGCAGCCTCTGTCTCCTTCCTGCCACCCCTTTGCCAAGGGGATGTGGGGGAGGCAGGAGGCTGCAAGTTCCACCAGATGTCACCACTGCGAATCACTTCTGAACACAATTCTCCGGTGACTGGGCATGCCTGATCTTTCTTACAGGTGTACATTGGCATTTCAGAAAATGGAATCTCTACCAACTTCTCTGAAATAGGTTTACAAGTCATTCCTCAGTTTCTGTGACAAAAAGCCTTTGTGCACATAAATGTGGCTTCCTGGCTTGCGAGGCCGGCTGGCCCCAGGACACTATGTATGTGTGTCGTGCTTGGGATCCTCAGACTGTGCCACGGTGGTGCACTGCAAGGAATCTGAGGAGCCCCGGTTCCCTTCTGGACCCCCATCCATTCTCTGGCAGCCCCAAGATCTTGAATAACCTCAGGTAAGCCAGGCTATGATGGTGGGCTTGCAGCAACCTTTAGAATGTATGTTCCACACTCTGGTTTGCTTATTTAAAAGTGAATTATCTTCTCAATATATAAACGGGTATCAGACCGTGGCTGACGTCAAACCTAGCAAAATGCATAGGCTTTTGTAAGCCTGTGCTAGTCGGAAATGCTTCTACAACAGCTTATATTTTTATTTATTCTGTCACTTCCATAAAAAGTCTTATGAGGAACTGTATGAATTAGTGGTTGTCCAAAGTTTAACAAGATGACAAAAGCATTTAGCATGAAATGGGAAATGGGAATATTGATACCCATCCTGTATAGGGCACAGATGTATACTAAATGAAGTGACAGATGTGAAGACTGGCAAATGTTGGTGCTCAAATTAATACCCTTACCATTGCTGTGGGTAATATGCTCCTATCTGTTACGACACATGCAAAAAACTGAAGAAAATGTTGTATAGGAAAATTACAGCCCCGGAAGCTTCTCTTCAAACACCTTTCAATGTGCATTTCTTAGAGGTCAGTTTCATGCCTCTAGCAAAAGAATCATTGGTCAGTTTCATTACTTCAGTCACATACACGTCTGCCTCCATGAAATCATTTGTTTTCAAACTATTTATGCATTTTGAGCTAATTTTAGAATTACAGAAACTCACGCCGATAGTGAGAGACAGTTCCCACATTTCCCTCAGCGGCTTTTATTTTCTTTTAATTATTTTACAAAACTATGGTGCACTGAGTAAGCCCAGGCAATTAACAAGGGGACAGTACTGTCAACCACAGACTTCTTTCCCTCAAGTTTCCCCCCTTTTCCTGCTAATGTCCCTTTTGTCTGCTCCAGATCTGAACCAGGACCCCTTGCTGCACTGAGCTGTTGAGTCCCGGTCCCCCAAACCCTTGAGGGGTCCCTGGTCTTTCCTTGTCCCTCCTCACAGCTACCCTTCTGAAGGGTACAGGTGACCTGTTTTACGGAGTGTCTCCAAGTTTTCAAGGGTTTGGATCAAGGTGAAGCAGTTTATTGGGATCCCCACAGAAGCGACACTGTGTCCTCAGCGCTGCATCTGGGGTGTGTGCATGCGTGTACGTGTGTGTGTGCATGCACACACGTGTATGATGTCCACAGGTCCCCCCACTAGAGACACTGGCTGGTATCACTTACAAGAGGGTTCTGCCACATGTCTCCAAAGTCAGGCTACACCTTGCACTTTGCACTTAAAAAATATCTTGGGGGACGAACCCTGAGACCATGCAAATCCTGTTTCTTGACAAACTTTCACCCGCTAACCTTAGCATCTACCCCTCAGTGGATATTTTTGCAACAACTACTGTGCATGCTGTCCCGTTGGTGATTTCTCTATCTCTTCACTGCGCCTCAGTTTTCCTCCCACCCCATGTCACCACCCCTCCGACACATGAATTATTTTTCTCTTTCTTTTTAAGCAGATATTTATCCTCATCCTTAGAGGCATTCAGAGTGGAGCTTTCCTCCCTTGCAAATCCCAGTCTCCTTTTTAATGCACTTCAGCAACAGAACGAAACCCAAAGCAACACTTGTTTTTTTTATTAACTGGCTAGCTGGGTATCCCTGCGCAGTAAAAATTAAGACTGAGACTGTAGAGATGAAGGGGCGGGAGGGAAGAGGGCGTTTAGAGAATGAAGATGTGCTGCTCACATGTACCAACTCCCCACAGTGGGTGTAACCATTGTGCACTTCAAATACAAGCTAATAGAAGTAAAAACTGTAAGAAGAGACTGTACAAGGGCTGGATCAATAAACACTAAAATTATATTTTTTCCAGGCCTCCAAACTCAAATGATCAGATTCAGTGGCTGAACGTGATCCACCCAACCAGCCATTGCCAGAGAAAGGCTGAGATCTATGTGTCCGTTATGTGCCCAGCCACTGCTGCAGTGCAGAACCCTTTGAGTTTTTGCTTTCTTGGATTTGGTAAGCGTTTGGATTAGCAAAGGTCAAAGAATGCCTAAGACTGCCTCGGCTGCAGCCTCAGGATGGAAACAGGTTTCTCACCAAGACTGGCGACTCGCGCCATCTAGTGGACTCCTAACAACCAGCAGTCTCAAGGACAAGTCAGGGCATTCAGAGCCCAGGAGCCGCCTAGGTCATGACCAAAGAGAGGGCCAGGGTCCTGCCCCTGCCACCACATCCCTAAACACCACTTCCGCTCCAGAAGGCATGAAGACATCTGAGGAGAAGGGGCAAGGAGGTGTGTGTAGATTTCAGCATGCAAGGCATTTCCCAAATGAATGGGATGGGCAGGATCTGCTGGCAGCATGCCAGAGTCCCATGGTGGTGGAGCCTACAGTCAGAAAAGGAGGTGACATCATCAGAAGCCCCGGGCCAGGCTCTGCCAAGCCCAGGGTGATGAAGGACTCTCACCGCGTTCACGCATCTCCTCAGTTGATGAACAATGAAGCAACAGGCGGGGGCCGCTGGTCTGGTAGGGAGGCCCAAGGGGAAGAGCAGGAAATACTCAATGGGCTGGGGACCCTTCGCTCTGTCCCCAGCCTGCTGCTCACACAGCAGCACCCAACAGCTCTCCAGCCCAGGCTCCGCATGGAGGCTGCAGACGCCGGTGTGTTAGGAGAATTCTGCGTCCACCAAAGTTGTCTACAGTTACACCCGCCCGTGGCCCATGCCAGCCCTTTCCCAGAGGCCGGTCCACACCCGAGGTGTACATCCTCCTCCTCCCATCTCTCTTCCCCACCCCTCCCCACCCGGCCCCTCTTCTCTGGATGCAGTGGTTTTCCGTGAAATCCCCAGGGCTGGACACGACAGCCCCCCTGGCCTGGGATCTGGACTTGTACGAAGAGCTCAAGGCCCCGCCTCCCCAGCCCTGGATGCTGCGCCCTGCTGCGCACGGAGGCCACGGGAGGCTCACAAACAGCAGCAGGCAGAAATCAGACCTTGGTCCTTGCAGAGAAACAGGAAGAATGTGCCTGAGGCCCCAACATGGGTCGCTGGTCACTGCTTTTCATTTATCTCATTACCTTCAGATCCTCAGGACGAACACAGCCCAGAGGCGCGTCGTGGTCACTGACTAAAACGGGACAGGAAGACAGAGGCGGGGATCCTGCAGGTTGCTGTCCCTGAGGACTCACTCGTCAGAGTGCCACACAGCCTGTCCGTGCCCTCAACTCGGGGGCCTCTGGGTCACCCCGAAGCAATGTCTTCTCTGCTTTGCTCAAAGTAGTGCAAAAAAAGGCAAAACAGACCCTAGGACTTGGAACTAGGACCCTCCCCACTCAGATGAGAGAGCGGGAGCTCCCTTCCCTGCACACCAGGGCACAGAATGCTGTGCAAGGACCAAGCTCGAGGGGGACCCAGGCCTCTGGGACCCCGGCAAGGTGCACAGACTCCACCTGGGACAAACAGCTCGTGCTCTGTCTGTGCCCCACCGGCCAAGGAGGGGCCCCGTGTGCCCCGCTGTCCTCTGAGGACACTGGCGCTCTCGCCAGTAAGACACTATTTCTTAAGCCCATTCCAATCGATCCCCCAAATGTGTTCCTTTGGCAACAGGGACAGTATGAGCTGCCAGTCCATAGAGATGGAAAATAGGCTGCTTAGTAAGAACTGAGGAACAGGCTTGCACCCACTATTCCAACCACGAACTGTCTGTGAGGCCCCAGCGTGGACGGTGTGACCCACCAGGAAAAACACACCGGAGGGACCGGTGCTGCTGCCACCAGGGGCAGTCCAGTCCTCCACGCTCGCACGCAGCTCTTACCTGATATTCTGACTGGACTTTGAAAGCTGGGTTGGATTTTATGTACGTTATCGTTCTTTAACACCTGATCCAGGGGAGATCTTTCAAAGAAAGTGAGCACCACTTCCGACCTGGAATACTGAGAAGAAATGCAGTAATTATTAAAACTGAGAAGCTCCCAGAGTCGGGTCCTTCTGCCTGCCTGGCCAGGACAGAACGCAGCTTCCCCCACACCACCTGCTGTCCCCGCTCAAGGAGCGACCCTCGGCCCTTCACGGGCTCTGCTGAGGGACCACACCACAGGTCTTTGTCACTGCTGCCCTTGTTTATTGATGGTCCCAGACAAGCCCTCAGGGGTGGGGTAGGGTTTAAGGAAAGAGCGGCTAGTACTTGGGTGCTTTGAGGGTGCAGCATTTCCACCCATCTCCTCCTTTAGGATAAACCAAGAGCTGCATCCACTCCCCGCATTTGCCAGATACAAAAGAGAAGCTGAAAGGAGGTAAGTCCCGCTCTCCATCACGGCTTAGCCCGGAAATTTACTCAAGGGAGCCAAAGTTCCTCCAGCCAGCACAACAAAGAGCAACTTGCAAAGTCGGATTGTTTCCTTTAGCACATGGGCTTTCTCCACGCCGCCTCAGGCCCAGGGCACAAACCGCCACCCTCTCCTCATCCAGATGGCGCCGTTAGTCCAGTCCAGTTTCCATTCCCAGTGAAGAGAGGGACATTCGGGACACGTCTACTCTTACCCTGTGCTCCCGCCCCTGTGCCCTGGGTGTGAAAGACCCTAACACACCTGTGTGGGGTGAGCTGGGGCTTAGGGGCGCCACAGGCGGGAAAGCGAGACCCCTGCAGCCACAGAAGCTTCCTTTCCCGATTATGCTGCCCTCTTCCCTAGCGCCCAGAGGGCTGCGTGACAGGCATCGAGCAGGTTAGATACGTAGAGGGTGGAAGCCTTTGAAATGGGGAAGATACTGACTTTCCAGGGCATGCTGATGATCGTCTTCAGCAGCTTCTCCACCTCGTTGAGCCGGGTCTCTATGTCATGCGCGTTCTTTATGGCGACCAATCCTGGAATAGACACAGAAATGCTCAGGTCAGAAAAGCACACGTTCTCCTAACTGAGTTCACAACAGGAACCCCAAGACAAGACGCCCCCGGAAGTCCTCCACCATAGAAAGCGTCCAGGAATACAGGCTCCTGTTTATCTGAGTGGGATCCCTTCTAAGACCCCCTGGGGATGCCTGAAACCAGAGAATGCTGCGCCTTTTTCATCTTATCTAAGAGCATTCACGCACCAGGAAGCAGCAAAACAAGCATGAATTTCCTTTTCCTTCTTCACAGTTTTAAGCCAGACGACTCCCCCTCACCATACATCTTAGCAAATTCAGCACATGGCTTTTTTCTTTCCTTATTTATTTGAAAACATCCACCTTTTCACTTACGGGAAGCCCTTCAGGACTTCTCCCTGACATATCTGTATTGCCAGCCTTACTACACTTCATTTGGGGGCAATGGTTCAATAAAATAAGCATTACTAGAACATAAGCATTGTGACAGCATGACAGCCAATCAGTCACCAAGATGGCTTCAAGGACCAACCAAGTGGGTAGCATACACAGCACAGAAACACAGGACAGAGGTGATTCACATCCAGGCAGGCTCACAACTTCATCACGCTATTCAAAGTGCTGTGTGATTTAAAACTTACTAATTGTTCATCTCTCTAACTTATCATTGAATACTTTTAGAAAATGGGTTGACAGTGGGAAAGTGACACAGTAGCAAGTGGAACTTCAGACTGGGCTGCAGTGTCCACTCAGCCTCAGTACATGCAGCCATATTCTAAAAGTCCTGCTCTGTACCTTGGAAGTTCCATCAACCCAAAGAATGACTTATGTTTCCTCTGAGATTGAAGCCAGACATACAAAAAGAGAGTGCTTGGGAACAGCAGCCAGGGGTGGGAGCCTGAGAGGTACGGGAGCCTGAGTGGGACAACTGGTGCACTTCACACACACTCTGGACATAACCAGAGCTCTGGCCCGCGCCACATGGCCCCTGATGGTGCAGGCCTGCAGCGAGCAGGTGGTTGGCCCAGGACCCACCCCTCAAAGACACAGGGAAGAGACTACTCTGATGACCACAGCTGTCCAGACCACAAGGCCAGTACAGACAGACCCATATTCAGACAAGTCATGTAAATGCTGTGTTTGGAAGGAAAAAAAAAGTCAGAGAAAACTATCGTGGGCGTGACTCATACACTTTCCAGGAATCCAAGCTCCCTGTGGTGAGAGGCCCCAACTGGCTGTTCGGCTGTGTGGGAATTTATTTCTAAGATCCTGGATCTCAGCAGATGTGGTGGCATATGCCTGTATTCCCAGCATTCTGGGAGGCTGAGCTGGAGGAGTGTAAGTTCAAGGCCAGCCTGGGCGACCTGGTGACTTAGCAAAACATTGTCTCAAAATAAAAAGTTAACAGGAAAAGGTCTGGGGAAGTGGCCCAGTGCAAAGGCCCTAGATTCAACCCCCAGTACCGCAAAGGAGGCAGATGGGATTAAACATGGGGGAGTAAAGACCAGCAGCAAAGCACAGCCTCTCTAGGACCTGGACTCAAGACACCTGGAAAACAATAACTTAGTGAAGAAAGAAAGACGTAGAGCTCCGGAAATCAAGGAAGAGTGACAGGAAAACTAGAAACTACAGAGAAGCTGGAGAAATTAAATACAACTCAGAAAAAACCAATCAGCCTGGAATGCGCACCCACCTCCAGGGAGGAAGTCCTGTCTGCGCAAGCACAACACCTAATGACACACACCTCAAAACACCCACATCAGTAAGCAGCAGTGCCGGCTTGTGGTGTGTGTGTGTGTGTGTGCGTGTGTGTGTGTGTAAACACTGCTCTTCTACAAGCAAATGCTTTGATTCCCTCCTTGATACAAAGAAGTATACAGAAGAAAAGAGAAGCAACTCAAAATTCTCCAAAAAGTTGTTTTTTAAGGGGAAAACAATTACGTAACTCATCCTGACAAAGTGCTTCTTTATTCTAAGACAGGCAAAACTCCTTTCATGCTTGTCTGCTGTGATAGCTAGAACACTGGTGTTCAGTTCATCAAACTGATGACACAGTAATTTTACTTTTACGTCCCAAAGGTAGAGTTAATAGGAAGATTATTCTCTTGTATAACCAATGTATGTGGCGTGTTTACGCTGACTATATAAAAAAAAAAGCTTTCTTTAACAACTAAAGGTATTCTTGAACTTTACAATTCTTAGGCGTTTCCCTTTGATGACATATTTTTGGTTCCATCTTTGATCTTCTTTTTAGGGCTTACAAACTCAAAGGGCAACGTGCAATGAGGTACACACCCTCTGCTCCAGACTCAGAGGATGGCCAGATTTCACAAACAAGACATGGGCTGCTCATGTACGTGTGAATTTTGGATACACATGAACCACAGTAATGATAAGGAGGAGCAGACTAAAAATAAACGTGTGGTTTGTCCGCTGACCCAAGGCAACTACGCATCCTGTGTTTTGATTTCTCTGTGACCCATTTTTCAGGATGAAGCAGAGAAAACCCTGAGCGCTCCATCAGGGCTCTGGAAACAGCGTCAGTATTTCGGCTGTGCGAACAGACGTTCCTGGGCCAGACCCCAGCCCACCGTACCAGCGCTTTGCCAGGACACCCCACACCCATGGCAACACCAAGAAACGGTCCTGCTGGCCTGCAGGACGCCCCAAGCGACACACACTGCCTCCAGGAGATCCATGCCCCGCAGCAACCTCAAGAGGGGAAGGCGACCGTAAGACTACTGCGCCGCTCCGGTCTGGCTGCATCCGTGGAAATGTGTGGAAGCGGACTGCTGTCTCTCGCCTGTGTTTATTTTGTGAATGGAAGCCAAGGATCCGCCTTAGCAATGTAAACACGCAGACCAGCTGAACAGAGGAGGCTGGGATGGTTTGATGGGGAAAGAGACCAGGCTGGAAAAGGACAGGTGATTGCTTCTGGAAGCTCTGGGCTTTTAATTGGGGCACTGTGTGCGTGTGCGTGTGCGTGTGTGTGTGTGTGTGTGCGCGCGCGCGCGTGCTACTGGGATGTAGCTCACAGCAAAGGCCTTGACTTCAATCACCAATCATTCTTTATTTTGAGACATAGTCTTGATAAGCCGCTGAGTTGCTCTGGCTGGGCTTGAACTTGTGACCCTCATGCCTCAGTGTCTCAGAGTTCTGGGGTCACACGTGTGCCCTACCACGTCCAGGTAGTTGGGGCCCCTGTGTCACTTACGTCCCACCCAGCTCATGGGTGACAATCGAGCTGGCAGCCTGGGTCAGTTTTCCTAAGGGCGTCCTCCTTTCCTCAAGGAGCCCCTGCTCCTGAGTGACAGCGAGCACCGTCCCCTGCCCAGGGCAGGTCACAGCCGGCCACCAAGCGATGGACTCAGCCACCTTCGCCGGAACTCACCTGATTAACAGCTCCACCACTGGGCTACCATCGCTTCACACAACCGCTTGGCCCTCTCTCCTCTTTAACTGCTTTAAAAGCATTTTCCACCAAAAGGATGCGTGTATTCAACATGGAGCGAAAACTCTTATAAAAGCCCATCCTCCAAGGCCAAGTGCAGAATCGAAGCACAAGTTCCTTCTGACATTCCCAACCGTTCCACCCAGGGCTCCTCAGTCCCACAGCCGGTGGGGACCTCAAACACCCGCCGTCAGTGCCCCCAACGATCAGCCTCCAAGGCCAGCACTGAGAGGCGGGCTTCCGGGTGGAACCACACTGGAGGTGCTGATTTGTTATTTTTTTCCAGGACAGACAGCAGGAACGTGGAGTCCAATAAGCACAGCTACCCCGAACACCAGTCGTGTGCATTTCTCCCCCACCTGTCCTGCCTTTCCCTGTGATCCAACTCTTCTGGCTCTTAATGGCCGGAGCTGCTTGTCCAAAAGCCACTTGTTCACATGGAGCGGCAGCGAGCACATTTAAAAATCTTACTTTCAAAACTCTGTTTAAATACAATCATTTGGGACCATTTACAACTTTTCAATTTATATTCTGAATATTGTTAGTGGGATTACCCTGAGGCGCTTGCCTAGCACAGTAAACACAACTGAGAATTCGCTCAGGCGGAAGCTCAAATGAAATCAAGGCCATTCGAAGGCTGTTGTTCCAACATGTGCCAGCAGGGGACAGACTACTCTGCAGAAGCAGGAGAATTTGGCTCCCTGAACCTCACAGGCCACAGGATTAATTGTCCACTACCCACATGGAAGGAAGTTGACCCAGAATTCTTTGTGGCCCCTGGAAATTTTTCTAATTTCTGCTAATGTATAATCAGTAATATAACCTCCAATTTTTCGTTTCACTGCACACAATTTAACATGAGAATTGTAATCACATTTAATCCCAACAGTTAAGAACCTGAAACAGGGAAATTATTAGCACAATTATGTATAAATTAAGCGGGCCAAGGACACATACGTTTGGGGGTTAAATATCAGCCTGGGGCAGCCCAGGAATCCCTTTCTTTCTAAGTGACTTCATTACTGAAATCTGAGAACACAAAATGCGTTTCTGTCAGTTTCAAGATTAGCTGCCTTTTGTAACTGCAAACATTTTATTTATTCCTGGACTCAAAACTGAACAGCAATCTGACAACCAGAGAAAACATAAACAGCCAGGCATGGGGTGCACGCTTGTCATTCCAGCACTCAGGAGGCTGAGGCAGGAGGATGGCTCTGAGTTCGAGGCCAGCCTGGGCTACAAAATGAGTTCAAAGCCAGCCTGAACTGCATAGGTAAACCCTGACTAAACAAAATAAACAAAAAAAGAAAAACAGAAACACAGTTTCCTGATCATAGAATTTGGGGTGCAAAGCCCCACCGTCCCAAGTGGAGTTTTGGGCCTCCAGCTGGGCAGCCGCCGTCCAGTGGGCAGGAGGACTCCGGTCTGACTGAGGTGAGTGCTTCTTCCTGCTGGACCCATGAAGATGAGCCAGGGTCTGTCCTCCAAGGAGGGGAGAGGAAGCTCCTGGACTGCGCATGGGGAACTCAGCGGAGGGGAAGCTTTCTCTCATTACTTTCAAACCGGGCCAGAAATGAGCGGCACTGAATTGCTTCTCTTCCATTTCACACACGTGCCCATCCCATGCCGCACACGGCGCACACAGCTCTGGACTCAGCGCGGAATCCAGTCACCGCCTGCTCCCCGGAGAGCTACATTCTTGGGGCTGAGGGGTGGGGAGCAGCTCAGTGATCGAGGGCATCATCAGCCTTGAGGCGCTGGGCTCAACCCCAGCCCAGCGAGGGGGACAGAACCCCAGGTGTTCGCACACCAGACAAACCTCGGCCCAGACCGAGATGAGCACTTTTATTTTTGGTTCCAGGAATCGAACTCAGAACCCTGCCAGGCAGGCGCTTGTGCCACTCAGCTATATTCCCGGCCCAAAAGGTCCTCTGGCCTGTACAGGGATCGAACCTGTGACCTTGGCATTATTAGCACCACACTCTAACCGAGCTAACCAGCCACCTACATTGAGATGCGCAGTCTTGAAAGGCTGAACATAGGGCAAAATTTGGAGGCACCATTCTAAATGTTTTGGGAAAAACTTAAGTACTTACTAAGTCTCTGTTTTCTTTTTGGGTGTCGGGATGGGAGGCTGAGCCTCGAACGTGCTGCACAAACGCTGTCCCACTGAGCGCTCAGGCACCTTCCCGGCCCTAATTCCTAGATAAGCAGTCAGTGCTCAAGAAGCGGGGAGCGAGCCTGACCCGCTCCCTGCTCTGCACGTGGGCGCCCGGTGGGGCAGCTCCAACCTCCTGGAAAATGCCCACTCCCACGCTGCCCGGCCTCTATTAGGGTGCTGCGGGGGCAACTGCAGGGCCTGGCTGTGCCGAACCTAGGACAGGCCAGTGTCCTGCCCTCGCCTGTTCCCTGTGACCTGCAAGGGACCCCAGCTAGGGGCTCAGCCCATCCCCACCGCCCCCTGCACAGCAATGCCACGTGGGTTCTCGGAGCTGGGGAAGCACGCCCCGGGCTCGTTTCTCCTCTGCACCTCTCCCAGGGCAAAGGCTGCACATGCAGGAGGAAGGCACAGAAGAGGAGCAGGCAGAACTGAACTCCCCAAGGACCCCAGAAGAGGAAGCCCAGGAAGCCGCCCTTCCTTCCGTCCTGCTGGGAGGGGCCTCCTGGAGGACTGAGTCATTTTCTGCCACTAGGGAAATAACGTGAGGTATCTGAAGCTTTCTGAACTTCGCTGTGTACTTCCTTCCACCTTTCCTCCCCCAGGGCCTCTTCGTCATTCTCCCCACTAGAAGCAAAATCACCCCTCCTGAACTTCAGGTTCCACATTTGCGGACAGCTGTTTACAGGGCCAGTCTGCGCCGGCACGTGGAGGAGCCTGTGGGCCAGCTCATCCCCGGCTCTGACAGCAGAAGGGAGCTGCTCATCTCCCCTCCCCAAGCACCAGCCTGCAGTGCTCCCGCCAGGTGCTGGGGATAGGAAGCCAGCAGGAAGGGCGGGTCCCCGCCTTCCCAGCAGGAGCTGAGCAGGAGCCCAGGAGGAGCTGAGTGGGCAGCATCACCGGGCCGGCCCCACACCCTCCAGGCCGCAGGGAGCTTAAAAGTGGGCAGGAGGGGGCTGAGGGGAGCGCGTGGGGTGCCAGGTGTGGAGACCAAGAGGAGGTCCCGACAAAGAGGAAACTCAAGCACAGCAAAGGGTGTGCCCATGAAGTGGGGCGTGGCTTCTCATATAGGTTATGGCCGCTAGAGCTCTGTATTTTTCAGTTCTATTTCTTAGGGTGATGTGTGCAGTGTGATAAAAAGACATATAGTGAGTGAATGTTTAATTTTCTAAAAAACTGCATTACAGTAAAAGACACAGTGCCACCATCCCCCTGAGAATCTCCCCCGTGTCTCACTGATCCCCTCACACTCGCCACTTTCTGAAGCAGTTCTGGAAGTCCTCTTTCCTGTCTTGTTTGTTGCTGCCTGGAGTGATTCAAACATTTACTCTTCACAGTCACTGACTCTGGGGTAGAGCCGGAAGCCACACCCCACAGCTGGTGCCAGATCTGGGGACAGGGTGCACGGAGACAGGCTCTCACGTCCTTTGACAGAAACTGATGTAAACATCTGAATCAGTTCAGGACGCTGAAGCAGCCACAACAGCACCAAAGACACTCATGAAAGAGGACTTCCAGAACTGCTGCAGACAGTGGCAAGAACAGTGGGATGTGTGTTCAAGTGAGAGGGAGGGTTTCAAGGGGGATTCCAGGCAATGCATCTTGTACTGCAAGAAATTTTTCCATTTAAACACAAAGTATACATTTTGATCATACTGTGTCTACACTGGCTTCAGGATTCCACAGTGATGCAAGCCTGGTCCACACGAAGTGTTGAATTCTAACTTGGGACCCACAAAGCCACAAGGACAACCCATAGAGGCCCCCTGAGGTGGGGTGGGGACCCTCCTTCCAGGCAGGGAGCAGGGGGCAGACACAGGTCTGGCTCAGAAAGGCAGGACACGTGCCCCTGGCAGCCTGGCTCCTGCCCTCAGGGCTCCCTGCACACACTGGACAAAGGGCAGCCCGCTGTGTGAAGGCAGCTGGTCCTACGTGTCCAGTGTCGTACGGGACCCTGCTGTCACTGCTCACCATGACTCACAACCCCACACACAGGCAGTGTCACTGCCACTATGTCCACACACACGGCAGCTCGCACTGACAGAGCCAGTATCAGAATCCTCACCTGTTGACCTCTCCAGTGTCACCTGGCTGTGTCCCCTGGCCTGTCACCCAATCTCAGGCCCCAATATCCTCATGCAGGAGGCAGGAAGGTGGCAGGTGGGACACGTTCCTTCTCCCCGCCCAAGTGCTGCTCATCCTGTTCCTCTGACTCTACTCTAAGTTACACTGCAGTAAAGGAGAACTGAGACTGTTCTCAGAACAGGTGGAAAAGCTTGTGAGTGTACATGAGCCAGAGAACACTGTGATTTGTCCGCGGCCACTGCTGAATTTGGGGCAGAATAAGAAGGAAGGCGGCCCGGGCTGGAGGCGGCCGTGGGGACAGTCACCAGCCTGTGTGTGCGCTGCGATGCCGGGGCTTCCTTGGGGGCCGGGGAAGCACACAGCGAAGACCCCCCGCTGCCTCCAAACTCCTCCCCACCCCGCTCACCTCCAGGGGAGAGAACCCGATGGAGGACTCTCTGGGGCTTCCTGCGGCTGACACGGGACACATGAACAACCTTAGCAATGGTGACAAGAGGCAGCCAGTGCCCCCAGATGTAACCCAAGGAGTCTGAGGTGAAGGAGACTACCGGCAACAGGGCTGGGCTGCATGTCGGGACAGCGTGAGGTCTGTGTGCAGGAGACCCCGGGCCCCACCCCCAGGGCCACACAAGAGGAGTCCTGCGCCGTGGCAGTGCCAACGAGCGTAGTGAGGCAACTTCCTATCTGCTCTCTCCAGCTGCGGCTGCCCTGGGGCCCTGTGCGCCCCTCAGCAGGATTCCTGACCTGCAAGTCTGCTACTGATCAAACACGCACTGGGCTCATGCTTCTGCAGGCCGCCCTGCAGCCCCCAAGACCCAAACCACGAGCAACACCCAGCCACAAGCTGAGCTCTGCCGAGGCGACATACTGATGGCGCCCACTCCATTGGCTTTTGGGCCGTGCTTGGCACCCTGGCTCTGCCCTAGCCCAGCTATTTACCATGCAGCCTTTGCCTCTGGAGAACAGGGGGAAGATCAGGCCCAGAGCCACTTTTAAAAGGCAAGGGGCCTCATGACCTGGGGAGGGAAGCCTGAGGACAGTGGGCCCTGCCAGCGGGATCTCAGTGGTCTCCGATGGACAGCAGAAGCAAGGTTCTCCTTTGACACGTCGGGCACAAGGGTGACTTGGAGGTCAGCTACCAAACAGCCTGAGTGGTAACACAGGGTCCCCAGGGGTCCGCAGGGGTCCCAAGGGCCGGGTGCATAGTATGGGATCTGTGAGCACAGGACCAGGGAACGGGACACCAAACCCAGCCAAGAGGCCATCTACAGAGAAAAGAGGGACGAGGACCTCAGAACTGGAGTGTGCGGTGGGCAGCAGGGTTGGGAATAAAAGCGAAACAGAGGGAGAGGGCAGCGAGGCTCCATGAGGCAATGCTCAGGGCCTCTGCACTGCTGTTTGCTTGGCCTCTGCAGGAGAAGGCAGACCCCAGGCTCTGCAGTTGTCCCTGCCCCAGGGACTGTCCTCCCTGAGTTTCTAGGAAGGCACAGAGCCCAAGTGCCCTGGTGCGGTCAGGGCTGCGGGGCCAACCAGGTGGTCACATCCAAGTCCTATCCAGGTGGCCACGATTCCTGCGACGGGGACCTCAAGACTAGGAAGACGGCCCTCCAGCATGCAGGGGTCAGCGTCACCGGGAGGAGGGGACAGAGACCGAAACAGCCCAGCGTGTGCACAGGCTCGCAGGACGGGCCCAGCTTAGAGAAAATGCCACAGGACACGCGGATCCTGATGGGCTCCCGGCCACCTCCGCGCCCACCTCCTCTGAGAACGAGAGCAGCCCTGCTGCCCACAGCAACTCCCATCTCAGGATGAAAACTCCCGCTCGTCCTGGCGCGGGCATCCCCAAGGGACCGCTGATCTCCTCCTGCTGATCCCACCAGGCCCGGCCCCTGCCCCCCAGGCCCTGCTACCCCAGGCCTCGGCCCCTCCGCCTCTCAGCTGTCTCCCTGCCTCTCCTTTCTGCCACTCTGGTCTCTCTCAGCACCACAGAGCCCCCACGCTGACAGCCACTTCTGAGCAGGAGCCCAACACCCCCTGAGGCCAACCTGTCTCTACCTCCCTGGCCCATCCTCTCCACGCCAGCCCCTTGGCCTCCTCATTACTCAACATCATCAGGCACAGACCAGCCCCAGGGCCTTTGCACTGGTCGCCCCTTCCCAGGTATCCAGGGGCTTGCTCAACCTCAAAGGTCACTTGTCCATGAGACAGTCCCTGACCACCCTGTCTAAAAGCCACCCCTCTCCGCCCCACAATCACGGCTCCTTTCTTGGCTCAGCTTTCTTCTGAATGTTTATCACTGTCTACCACACTTATCATTTGCCAATCTTGCTTATAGCTGGATTCTCCCAGTCGGAATATACGAATCGTGAAGGAGCTATTCATGCATTATTTTGTGGTCTGCTAACTTCAGCGTCCCTAACCTTGCACCTGGAGAGGAGCCTACCACAGTGCAGGCTCCCAGCAGATATGTGATCGAATGAAACCAAAATGCTGACTTTGCAGCCCAGGAATCAAAGATCACCTGATGGGTTACAGCATGGAGACCATCACAGGCCTGGAACAGGTGCTATTAAAAAAAAAAGAATGAAAAGAATCCAAAAGCCTCAGGCAGTCATGGGAGAACTCTGCATGCTGATGTTTTAAAGGCCAAACTTTCTGAGACATGAGAGATAGAAATAGGCGGGAGACCTGGGTCACAGTCTGCAGGAAGCCCTGAGTCACGCTGATACCGCTGGTACCGCGGCGAGGGGATTTATATCCAAGACAGGACCCCAGAGGGGCTGGAGCGCAGAATGCCTCAAGGGAACACCTTGGTGACCCAGAGGTGACTTCCCCAGGAAGGAGAGAGCTTCCTCCCCAGGGCTGGGCACAGAAAAGGAAGAGGTGGGTGTGTCCAGGTCCAGGGAGAGACCAAGATTCCAAGAGCAGAAGAGCAGAACAGGCGCGGGACAAGTCCCATGGCAGCCTTGCCCCAAGGCACCAGACAGCAGACAGGGAGGGGCGCTGGGAAGCGCTCACCTCACCCCAGGCAGGGGTTAAACGTCCCTGCAGAGGTGCCACCAGCACTCACGCAAGGCCCACTGAGAGCGGCTAAGGGGACACTGTGTGCCCCGTGTGCGCAGTGCAGAGGCGGCTCACTCCTCTCCAGGCAACTCCCACAGTACACTGCACTTAGGGACCTAGAAAAAGGACTCACACCCCTTTATCTGCACGCAGGGCGGGGCCCCAGGCTTCCTCACCCCAAGTGTGCAGTGGGACCCCAAAGGGAGCTGCCAGCCTGCTGCCCACACACACTCACAGCCCAGACCTCCTCACAAAGTTTTAATTAATTAATTAATTAAGTACCGGGAATCAAACTCGTGACCTCGCGCTTGCCAGACAAGCGCTGTGTCGCTGAGCTATCTCCCTGGCTCTCGCAAAGTTTTTGAGTGAAACCAGAGAGTGAAAATTTAACCTGGCCCAGAAATTTTCATACACATATACATTGGGGGATCCGCTGGGGAATTACACTGAGAAAAGCTGGCATTACCAACACGACACAAAGTCTGGCTGCGTTTGTGTTGTAGTTTGCAAATCCAGACCCTCTTTTTATGCAAATAACTCTGCATGGAAATGAGGTAGAATCTTCTTTCATGTTACTATGGTACACTGTGCTTATCAAATGATTTCCTTGGACTTCAAAGGAGCCGAGGAAGAAGGGTTTCCCTGGCACTGCACAGCAAGACCCAGGTGGTACTGGGCACAGGCCAGCTTTCCTGCAAACAGAGGCCAAGGACAGAATGGAGACAGGGCTTGAGGTCAGCCCGCCCAGGTTCCAGAACCTCCTTTCATCCCGCAGGCCGCAATACCAGCCAAGGCCCCTGCTCCACTGCAGACTGGTCCGATCCTAACGCCCTCCACCCAGCCCGGTCCACGGCTCTGAGCCCCATTTCTGATTTGTGTTTCCCTGGAGATACCTGAAGCAGTTATCATCTTCCTTCCGCCTCTGGCCCAGGGGGAAATCACTACATCCTGAACATTTCTTTCTGTGCTTTTCTGGGACGCTCAGTGTGTCCACACACAGCACAACCCTGGAGATTACGCACCCTATACACCAGTGCAAAGCAGGCTGGGACTCGGCAAGGCGAGGCACATTCCTCCCTCTCCCTCAGTTCGCTCCGGGGAAGGTGATTTCACCTGCGCCTCCAGGCCGGAACCACGCACACCCCGTCCACATCTGGACCAGCTGCAAGGAGAAGCAGCTGATGCTGAGGGTGAAGATAACAACAGGCATTTGAGAGGCCTTCCACTGTCAGACTCTACCGTGCACGTTAACCTCGCAAAGACACAGGCAACAGGCACTGTGCCGCAGGTGGGAAACCGGATTCCCAGCAGCCTGCCTCGGGCCGCGGCAGACTCGGAAAGGTCAGAGGAAGACTCGGAAAGGCCAGTTTGTTTATGGTTTGTCTTATTCCAGAAAAAGCCACTGAATGAACTCCTATTCCTTCACTGTGCTTTCCTGATGTGGGGATTTATTGGTTGAATTAAAAATATACACCCTGGGAGGCTGAGGCAAGAGGATCGCCAGTTTGAACCCAGCCTGGGCAACTTAGCAAGATCCTGTCTCAAAATAAAAAATAAAAATAAGGCGAGGGGAGGAGGGTGTGACTCAGTGCAAAAGCCTTGGTTCACTTCCCATTACTGCACGTAATAATCATACTACTACTACTATTAATAATAATAGTAAGTAGCTTCCGTGCGTGAAATAACACCCAACTACGCCGAGTGTCGCGGGACATGGTTGCCAAGAGAAGCTGGGGCACATGCTGGCTCTGGGAGCCTTTCCAGATGATGCACCTGCGGGGCGATGCCTCCTGAGAGCTGAGCGAATTAGCCACACACGTCACGCATGCGCGGGGCACGTCAGGGAGAGTGGAAGTTCTCCAGACCTCGGCCAGACCGGCGGAGGGGGCGACTGTGCCGGGCAGCCTCCACCCGGGTCAGCCTGCGGAGGGTTACAAGGGGCAAGGCCTGGAGGCCAAGTGTCCTTCACGCGCGGGGGACCCTGCTCGGCTCTACTCTCCCTGTCCCCGTGTCCCACCCTCATTCTTCCAGTCTCAACTTGTGCCCTCCGTCCGGGTCCCGCCCCTCTGCCAGCCCCGACTCCCTGGGTTGGAAGCGAGAAGCCGCCACACTTTCTGAAAACAAGTCTTGGCCAGCCGCGAGCAGTCACAAGGTCAGGGAGAGGCAGCCACAGCTAATCAAACCAGACTGCGGCCCGTCCCGGGGTGGGGACGCTGGGCCGTTCCGCGAGGGCACGAGGTCTGCTGCGTGGCACCTCGCGTCCTAGCTCAGCTGTCGCCAGCGGGGACAAGGTGGGCGCGCCCCTCCCGGGAAAGGGGGCGGAGAGTGCGGCCGGACCCAGCTCCGAAGCCGCGCAACTGCCCCCCAACGCGTCCGCACGCTCCCTCCCGCGGCCGCCGGCCTCCCGACGTCGGGAATGGGGTTGCCACTCCGGGTAGGGCCGGGGCCCAGTGCCCGTCAGACCTGGGTTTCCCCTCGCGAACGTGCGCCTTCCTCGGAAGTGGTCTGTCCTTGGGGACACCCACGACGGGTCCTTCCCACCGCCCGCCTTTCTGCACCAGGAGTGCGTCCTTGAGGGCTTCGAGCCCGGCTCCGGGTCCTCCTAGCACTGCCACCACGGAGCCCTTTTTTCTGGGGACGCGTGGTCTGAGTGTCCCCGACCCCCGACGAGCCAGAGAGGAAACACGCACCCGCAGTTTAAGGCGCGCTTCCCCGTCCACTTCAGGGCACTTGGAAGCTGTGTCATCCCGCCCGCTCCCAACCCCGCGCCGTGCGCCCCCGGCGGTTCCCGCCCCGGGGCCCCGGCCCGCACCTTGCCGCAGGGGCCCGCGCGCCAGCTCCGGCCGGTCCTCGGGGAAGGCGTCGCGCAGCCGCTGCCACAGGCGGCCCAGGTCGGCGAGGCTGCGGTGCAGGTAGAGCACGCTGCGGTCCGACCACTCGGTGCGGATCTCGAAGAACTCCTCCTCGTCGCCGCGCCGGCTGACGATGAGCCTGCGGATGCCGTTCACCCAGCAGCCGCGCACGAACATGTTCACCAGCGACGTGCCCTCAAACACCGCCGAGGCCATGCCGCGGGCCACGCATGCCCCCGCCGCCGGGGGGCGCCCTCGCCCCGCCG